AAAATTTCCAAAGGGTGCCGCGACTAAAAAAAGGTTGGGAAACACTGTTCTAGAGAACCTGTAGGAGAGGTCGCAGGAAGTGGTTCCAAACAAACAGGAACTCACAGTTCTTAAACATGAAGTTGAGAGGGTTGCCTACTTACAATATTCATGATGACGCTGTTTTGAGAAGTCATTAATAAAAAACTGTTTGACATGAGCTGTCTCTCTCATGATATTTGCTGGAGAAATATAGTGCCAATGTCAACGGAAATGCAAATATCACAATAACCAAATGCTTTCATTGTAAACAAATGTTAACAAGGCATGCGTTTTTATATTTAGACTACTGTTCACAGTGTGTATGTTTTGGCAGTGATCTACAGTAGGCCTATTGCTTGTTTGCCCTATTTCATTTCAGTATGAGACCACCAGACAGTCTATATTCACTGTTCTCAATGTACAGGTTTCCTCTAATGTATACAAACACAAGTAACACCTAAATCAGCGGTTCACACATTGTAACACACCTTTTAGACGATTACTTGTTGTGCCACTCAGTGCAATATTTTAAATGTTTATAGGACTAAATCTTACAACCATTGATCTTGCATTGCTTCTTTCTTTCTTTCTTTCTTTCTTTCTTTCTTTTTGTTTGTTTGTTTCTTTCTTTAAAAATGTAATATTGTTGTCACAGATTGTGTTTCTTTAAATGTCACTGCATTCACTTTATGTAGCTAGCTGTATATGAATAATCTTGAAATCATCATTTAGAACAGGTTGGAAATTCAACTTGGAATTGAATAAACACTCAGTAATGTTTTGCATCATATGTTGTCATTTGAGTTGTCATTGATTTCCAGCTGTTGTTGTAAATTAAAAACCTACTACATTTTTCTTGCAAAGGACACAATATGATTTTTTTTTTGTAATATGATAATAGTGTTATAAATGTACATATATATATATATATATATATATATATATATAAACCAAACAAGATTTATGATGCTGATGACCGTTGAAATGCATCATCACAATCTGTAAAAAAAAAAGGGTCCATTGAGAGTTGCCTGGCCTTAGTCGACTTGCTGTGACCCCTTCGACTTTTTGACTGTCAGTTAGTCAACAGCATGTGCGACTATTATCTCTACACATCATCTGCAAACACAAACGGATGATGTGTGGTTCTTCTCCCTCTCATGATTGCACACTGCTCTCTTTTCTTCTCCTAGCGCAAAAACTGATCTTCAGTGTTGCTTATACAATCATAGATAAGTATCTGCTCTAATTAAGACTCTGTCTCCCTCTGCGTTGGTGGTTAGTCACTCATGTCTTGAGTTTCAGCTTCAATCTGCACATTCCTACTGTAATGGCACACAAGTTCTGTCTCCTTTTCTGGAAGTCTGAACTTGTGGATTGTGAGCTTTGTCAGATTTTGAAAAAAAAAAAAATTTTGTAAGTATTTTTTAACACGCACTTATTCAATATCATAAGGAGAGGATTATAGGTGCCATGTCCATGGAGGAATAATATGCCTTTTTATGGAGGTTCAGAAAGACAGAAGCAAAGGGGGTTGGTGAGGGCCGTTTTCACCCCCACATATACAGAATTTTTCCTTTTTGTTTTTACACTGTTGTTATGATTTGGTCATCTTGCCAATTTGAAACAGGAAGCTTGGAAATTCAGAAAAACAAAATCAGGCCAAGATGTGTGAGCATAACAGGAAATTTGAAAGTTGATAATTGATTAATTAAATAAATGTAAAAATAACAAATAAATAAATATGAATAAATATGTAATGTGATCATTTACCAACAACAGAGGACTGGGAACACGCAAATGTGTTGTTACGAATTTTCAACAAATATTAACATCAAATCTGGGGATAAAGTAATGTGGTTTGACTGACAAAAAAATTTGGGAATCCCTGAAATATACCATCAGGATAAGCATATGTGTTTAAATTACTCCTGAATTCATAAATCCATGGGTCATTTTTTATGGCTTTTGAAATTTTGAAGTATGATGATATCACTGCGTTATTGCATTGATTGTATTCATTTTTTGTTTCATTATTTTTTTTGCATCTTGTATTACTCTTTTGTCTTTTGTATTATTATTTGTATCTTGTGAGGTTGATGTGATGATTTACCTTTACAGTAAATTTAAAGTAATAAAGCTGCAAAAACAGCACAGTTGTTTTAGTTGAAAATTAATATCGTATTACTCAAATTTGACCCATGTTGAGATACTGGTAGCATGACTAAGCAAGGGAGGTCCAAAACTCCCATGTCCCATGACAGCATCTCGGGGCAAAACTGGTAAAGATGAATGAGCCATTACACTTTCTCTCAGAGTCTCTCTCTTTCTTTGAGGAAATGTTTTTCTTTCAGTATACATCACCTTGCTGCATTTCATTGCATTTCTAATTTGACTGGACTTCTCATCTTACCTCTCTAGAGAGGCCCAGTCTAGGAGACTGTCTCACAGTAGCCTCTTGGCCCGCACATTCATAAACTCTTGACAGCTCATATCTCTCTTTGTTTTTCTCTGTTTTCTCTCCTGCGATGAATGAACACATACTTACATAAACACTGTTCCTATCCCGACATCCTTCCACTGAAGCCGATGTGTGTGTTGAGAGTGTTTGAGCAGTGTGCCTACTAGGGCTGGGCGATATAGCTAAAAAATATATCAACGATATATGTTTCATATCGCTCGGTATCGATAATTATTGACATTTTTATAACCTTTTTTAAAACAGAGCAATATAATTTTTTTTAAATTTAACCACTGTATTTTTAATTTGCCCACTTTATTAAGACAAACAACAAATATATATAGGCATATATATTATTTTTTAACAGTCAAACACAAAATAAAATTTAAACAAATATCTCCTTTCTTATGTTTTATATGTAGATTAAATAAGTCTTAAGGAAACTTTTGACTTGTTTCCCGAGGCCACAGGAGGGTGCAATGAGCAAAATAATGCAGCGCATTAAACTGTCAATTCAAATAACTGTCTATAAAAACATTTATGCATTTATGCATTGCTTAGCCTAATACAAAAATCCAAATCGCCGATCACACAGATTGCATTTAAAAACAAATGAGACACAGTGAAATGAAATAAACCTTCACAAATTTGCGTCGCGTTTTCTAAACGTTAAAACCTAGACTAACAAAACATTAAAGGGGTCATAAGACGCGATTTCAATTTTTCCTTTGTCTTTGGAGTGTTACAAGCTCTTGGTGCATAAAGAAGATCTGTAAAGTTG